TGGAGGAAAGCTGCTGACTGGCTTACTGGTTTCTTCAGCTACTTTCTGAAACAGCTCAAACCCACCTGTGTAGTGGGTAGCCATTCCAGCTTTGATCTGGAAGTTCCAACCCCCATTGAAACTTCGGCAACTGTCACGCCTACAAGGCGGGGCCAAGGGAGGCGCCTGGAGACCTGGGATCTGGATGGGCGGCGCACGCACTCGGTGCCAGGACCTTGGACAGTGAAGGTGGCCCAAGCAGAGCTCCAGAGAACACCGCTGGACTGCGATACACCTGCCCCAGACCCCGCGACGTACCTATCCTTTAACTTGTAAGTTACGCCATTAAATAAATCTCCTTTTAACTACGTGGAGTGGCCTTAATAATTTCACCAATACACCTGCCCAAGGGTGGCATGGCCCACAGTGGGCTAGGCCCTCCCACATCAATTATCAATCAAGAAAATGCCCCACAGATATGTCCACAGGCCAATCTGATGAATGCAGCTCTTCAGTTGAAATTAGCTCTTCCCAGGTGTGTCAAGTTGACAATCAAGACCAGCCATCACAGTTCTTTAAGCTGTTTTTATGAAATGTTACTAAGAGCAGGATTTTCAGAACCCTTACACAGAGCTGGAGAGATGGCTGTTCTTCCAGAGGTCCTGAGTTCAATTCCGACACCTACATTGTGTGGTTCACAACCATCTACAATGGGATCTGATGCCCTCCTCTACAGATGGACATGCAGACAAAGTATCCATACACAGAACATACATTAAATAAATAAGTAAAAGAAATCCTTACTCTAAACATTAGAGAATTAGGTTCTAGTTTTACATTAGTGCATTAAATTTTACCTTAGAGTTGGAGAGATGGCTCAGCAGTTAAGAGTCCCGGATGCTGATCCAGGACACCTGAGTTCAATTCCCAGCACCCACATGGTGGCTCACAGCCATCTGTAACTCCAGTTCCAGGAGCTCCGATGCCCTCTTCTGGCCTCCGATGGCACCAGGCATGCATGTAGTACTCTGACATGTATGCTGCAAACCATCCATACACATAAAATAAAAATAAAATAAAAATTGACCTTGGGAATTCCTCGGATAACCTTTCAATGTGGTCAACTTATTTAACATAAAACAAATGCTTTTAAGGTTTCATACTTAACTTTTGTGACATACTTTAAGTTTATGGTTTTGCTCTTATCAGTTTTTTTTTGTTTTATCTGGAAGCAGTCCTCTTTTAATCCAAGAGCATTCTTTTCTTTCAAGTCCTTTTATTTTCTAAACCAAAAATACATTTACATATCTAAAAATTTTAATATAATTTCTCTTTCCCTTCTCTTCGTGTGTGTGTGTGTGTGTGTGTGTATGTGTGTGTGTGTATGTGTGTGTGTATGTGTGTGTGTGTATGTGTGTGTGTGTATGTGTGTGTGTGTGTATGTGTGTGTGTGTGTGTATATGTGTGTGTGTATGTGTGTGTGTGTGTATGTGTGTGTGTATGTGTGTGTATGTGTGTGTGTGTGTATGTGTGTGTGTGTGTGTGTGTGTGCAGGTGTGTGTGTGTGTGTGTGTGTGTGTGTGAACTGCTGGAGACCAGAGGGCAGCTCTAGGGAGTCGGTTCCCTCTTGCTACCCTGTGAGATCCAGGACTTGAACACTCAGGTCGTCACGTTTGTGTTCAAGGGCCTCTACCACTGAGCCACCGCACCAGCCCAGATGGTTCCTTTTTTTGCCTTGTTTTCTTCTTTAAACAATAAAATTCAAAACAATCTTTACCAGTTCCTGAACTTAGACAAAATTGTTTCTTCAGGAATAAAATGATATATTTTATATTTTAGTGATGGCCCAGGAAGTGATATCAGAAACAGAGAAAATAAAGAACCTTCAGTTGTAAACACCTAACACATAAAAATCCAGACATAGGCAAAATGTAAGTTTACAGTGATAGAGACGTTTCTATTTGTTTCGTTTGGTTTGGTTTTTTTCTTGTCATTGTTTTGTTTTTTCCAAGATAGGGATTTCCTGTGTAGCCCTGGCTGTCCTGGAACTCCCTCTGTAGACCAGGTTGGCCTCAAATTCACAAAGATCTGCCTGCCTCTGCCTCCCGGGTGCTAGGATTAAAGGTGTGCACCTCTGCCGCCCAGAACATTTCTGTTTTATATGACCAACAAATTAATTTATTTGCCAATGACTTCAGTCCTGTGAACTAAAAGGAATTGGAGCTAATTTTACATGAGCATTTCTTTATTCGTAAGCCAACTGGAATCAACTCTTTTCGGAGAACCTTATTTTGCAAACACTTCATATATCATACATCATATATCATATATCATATATCATATACAAAAGGCAACATATGTATGTACTATGTATGTATTTATGTGTATATTTTCATACACACACAAACTGAGATTATATAGACTCCAAGCTAAAACCTGAGTTCAAAGACAAAGGAATGTGGTGAGACTAATCTACTCATTTGAAGAGTATTGATGCCAGGTGGTGGTGGTGCTCACCTTTAATCCCAGCACTGGGGAGGCAGAGGCAGATGGGTCTCTGAGTTTAAGGACAGCCTGGTCTACTGAGTGAGCTCCAGAATAGCCAGTGCTACATAGAGAAACTCTGTCTCAAAACAAAACAAAACAAAACAAACAAACAAAAATGAAATGAAAAGGTGCTGTGGATATCGCTCTGTATAAATAAAATTCTGATTGGCCAGTAGCCAGGCAGAAAGTATAGGTGAGACAAGCAGAGAAGAGAATTCTGTGAACAGGAAGGCTGAGTCAGGAGACGCTGCCAGACGCTGCCATGAATACCAACAGGTAAGATACTGGTAAGCCATGAGCCATGTAGCAAGGTATAGATTTATAGAAATGAGCTGATGGTGGTGGGGCATGCCTTTAATCCCAGCACTCGGGAGGCAGAGGCAGGCGGATCTCTGTGAGTTCGAGGCCAGCCTGGGCTACCGAGTGAGTTCCAGGAAAAGCACAAAGCTACACAGACAAACCCTGTCTCGAAAAACAAAAACAAAAAAAAAAAAAAAAAAGAAATGGGTTGATTTAAGATGTAAGAACTAGATAGCTAGAAGCCTGTGCCATTAGGCCGAACAGTTTAAATAATATAAGCGTCTGTGTGTTTATTTTATAAGTGGGCTGCAGGACTGCCGGGGATTGGCGGGAATTGGAGAGAAACTCTCCAGCTACAAAAAGGAGTGTTGAAGGCTGGGCCGGGTGGCACAGTCTTGTAATCCCAATGTGAGGCAGGGGTTGCTGAGAATTCAGGCCTATCTCAGTTATAGAAGGTGAACCTCTGTGATTTCAAGGTCAGCCTGGTATACACAGCAAGTTCTGGGACAGCCAGGGCTACATAGAGAGACCCTGTCTCAAAAACAAACAAATAAACAATAAATAAACAAAATCCCAAAGTAATATAAGTACACAAATAAATTAATTACATTTATGATAAGTTATATTTATAACAGAATAAATGAGGTTATTTGTCTAAATGATCACACCCTAACAATTTTTAGGTGTTGTAAATGTTTTGTTTTGTTTGTTTGAGAGAGAGAGAGAAAGAGAGAGAGAGAGAGAGTCTATGTAGCCCAGGTTTCCCTATCTCACAATCTTCCTGCCTCAGCATCTCCAAGGCTGGGATTACAGATCTGTATCACTTGGCCTGGCCAGAGGCCAGTCTTAAGCAAGCCTCATGGATGACTGGATTTTAAAGAGTCACGTTTGAACCCTTCACCGGTCTGATCGTTTGCTCTTGCACGTCTGTGTTCTGTGCAGGGCTGGCTTGCAACAATCTTGCCAAAGCTGTGTTTTCAAAGGAGGCAACTGAAGAGAATAAACCCAATAGATTAGAAGCCTCTCAACTGTAGCCCTGGAGATGCATGCAAACACACACACACACACACACACACACACACACACACACACACACACACACACACACAGTATCAACCTAGATATGTAAGATGAGCTCAGAATGCAGAACCAAAGCAACTGTAGGTTGCCCAGTACTGTCTCAGGACACAGCAGTAGAGCCTCATGCTGATGGCTGAAACAAGAGTCTGTGTTAGGGAAGCATCTGAGCTCAGCAAACCCTGCTTCCCGGAGGCGTCAATGGGTCAGATCTCCTCCATTAGAGGTCTCAGAAACCCCCAGCACCAAGGGGTGTGAGTCACTCAAAGTAAGGGTGATTATACCTCTGTGCCCTTCAGAAGACTTGTCGCATTGCTCCCAACTCTCATTCCTATGAGATATGTGAGGCCCTGTGAGGTGGATGCATGGCATGGGGTCAGATACTCTGATGCCTCCATTAAGACCCACAGCAGGCCAAGGTAAGCATCTGTCTCTTTCTTTGGGGTCTGGAGACCCTCAATAGATAAATCTCTAATGGGATGCTGCTGTTCACTCAGATTTTAGCCTGTCAGTCACCACAGACAGGCTAACGTCAGAGTAATGACAGAATGACATGTCAACAGTTGCATGAAATCAACAATTACCATGAACACAGATAAGAAACTAAAAGAACACGTGTTAAATTAAATCAGAGTATATTCTTAGATATTTGAGTAAACTATTTTTAATAACATATAATCCTTTTTAGCCATAAGGGGAGTTTTAGAAAACATAAACTTGGGGCGGGGGAGAAGACTCATAAGAGTTTGCTTTGTAAGCAAGGAGACTTGATTTGATCTCCAGAAGTCATATAATACAAAGCTAGGCCTGGCAGTATGTACTTACACTCCCAGCCCTGAGGAGGAAGACACAGACAGGTCCCTGGGGCTTTCTGACCAAGCCAGCCTAGCCTAATCTATGAACTTCAGGCCAGTGAGAGACCCTGCCTCAAAGTAAGATGATGAAGGGATGAAGCCCAAACAACACTTGAGCTTGTCCTCCGGTCTCCACACATATGTACACACATTTGCATGCACACCAGCACATACATGCACCAACACACATGTGTACCCACACATATGTACAAGTACATACACAAATATGAAAAAGAACACAAATCATAATCATGTGTTTTAATCTCTGTTTCATGGGAAGAATGTTTATTCAACCTGACCAGCGTTACCCAGTTCAGAAATCAAATATTAACAGATCCAAGAGGACACGGGCCAGACATCAGCACGTGAGAACAAAAGAAAATTAGGAAAACAGGGTGTTGCTTCCTTTCCAGAGTGGGGCTGGACAACCCAAGGGGAAGACATTGGGTAGAGGGGGGGTGCCCATTGTGCTGAGTCTACTCATTTTTGTGACCTAAAAGGAGAGGGTAAAGGGGACTAAAGCATGCAATCATTCCCAAAAAGGGAACTCATATGACCTTATGACCATATGACCTTACACTGGGATTTGGCCTCTCCATTCCAAAAAGGATGGGCATTTTAGAGCCTGAATGTCCTCAAAATCAGAGGGCAGTGGCTTTGTGTTTGTAGAGGCGGGAGCTTTTGGCATGGCCAGGGTTCCAGAGTGCTGGTGATGCTCCCAGACATGAGGCATCCTCTTGCCCAATCAAGGTTTTTTGTTTTGTTTTGTTTTTGTTTTTGTTTTTTTGAGACAGAATCTCTTACAGCATAGACTGGCCTCAAACGTCCTGTGTAGCCATGAATGATCTTGAATCTCTAATCCTCCTGCCTCTACCTCCCCAGTGCTGAGATTACCAAGCATGGGTCACCACAGCTGGCCTGAGTGAGGTCTTCAGACCAGGAGGAACGTTTCTTTTGAGCTAACAATGACTGAGGAATAAATTGGGCAGGTCATCTGATGACCGAATTATTACATGCTTTGTAGTGAAAATCAGAGTGAACTGTGAAGAAAGGGGAATGTGGAGGGGAGGGGAAAGCCACCAAAGGCTGCTTCGTCAGGGACTGAAGAACACATGACTATGTCCACAGAAGTCAGATTACAGAACTCCCAGAAGGGCTTTTCTGAACCATGAACCTAATGACTGAGAAGATGCCAGAAGAAAGGAGAGATGGGGGTGGAGCAGATCTCACGGTCAAGTGCACAGTATGGGTAGGGTGTGGGCAGAGATCCACAAAGGCAAAAGAAAAGCCAGAGCTTATATGGTCCCTCCCTGCTTTCTGGGTGATTCAAGACCCACCTAAGACTAGAGGCTGCCCTCACCTGGGAGCGTCAGTGGCTACAGCTTGGGAAGAACTGCAGCATTCCTTGGTCTCAAGGTGTTCTGGAATTTGACCAAGAGCTGCTCAGTAGCACTGACTTAGTTGGGATGGAGCCCATGCTGCCTGCCTTCTGTCTTGACTGTTCCTTTCTCAGTGTGCTTCAGGGATAAGTCAACCAAGTGCTGGACTCTTCAGTCACTGGGGCCCGCGCTGGTGGTGGGTATCTCTTAGATCCTTCCAGGTCCCGATCCCTGTGATCACCCTAGATGCTGGCAAGATGTGTTCCCATGTGTCACTTGTGGAACCAGCTGGGGTACGCGATGGAGGCTCTCCTGTGGAGAAGGTCCCAGCTTTGGAAAACTGGCTTCCTTAATTTGGGTTCCTCGAAGAGTGAGTGGGTCTGAAAAGCGCTTTGAGTCAAGTGTGTGGTTTATGGGCAAAGCTTTGCCAGGAGTCACCTCACAGTCAAACAGCACTTCGAAGTGTCTGAGAAACGCAGTTACCTTAGACTGACTGAGATACTTGAAGAGACATGTGGCAGCCTTCGTAAGCACCTCCAAGACAAGCTAGAAATTCCCTCCACAGGTCAGTCCTTCTGGTGTCAGTCTGTAAGGGACAACTACAGGTCATAGGTCAATGTCCCAACACAGCCCTCTTCTGGGCTGTAAGGAGCACCATCTCTTCCTTTTGGAGAGGAGCTCTCCTGTAGTAACACACGACAAAAGACAAAACGAAGTAGTGGGTCATTGGCCAGGGATAAATCTAATAAATGACCATCTGTTTATATGTACATCTTCAACCAGGGGTGGCTAGATGGTCCCTCAGGTAAAGGCACTTTCTGTGTCACCATGGTGACCTGAGTTTCATCCCTAGAGGTGTGTTGGGAGAATAGGAACTAAAACAGCTCCATCAAGATTAACATGTGGCCAAACACAGTGAGAAACACTTTCAATTCCAGTATTTAGGAAGCAGAGGCAGATAGCGCTCTGTGAATTCAAGGCTATCCTGGTCCTCACAGTCAGTTCCAAGCCACCCAGGGCTATATAGACCCAATCTGAATAAATAAATAAATAAATAAATAAATAAATAAATAAATAAATAAATAAATAAATATCAAGATTAACATGTAAAGGAAGTGAGTTTCTTAGGAAGACTGAAAGCTCTACCTTATCCTGGCATCATATAAATGCATGAAATAAAACTCCCAAAATACCAACAGGAGGTGAAGGCCATAAAAGACCAGACACTGTGTGGTGAGAGGCTGTTATAGGCTCTTTCCTCCTCTCATTAGCCCACTTCCATTCTTGAGAGTGACTGTTCTTTTTATTTATTTATTCATATTATTGGGGTTTTTTGTTTGTTTTGTTTGTTTGTTTCATTTTTCGAGACAGGGTTTCTCTGTGTAGCTTTGCACCTGTCCTGGAACTCACTCTGTAGCCCAGGTTGGCCTCAAACTCACAGAGATTAGCCTGCCTCTGCCTCCCGAGTGCTGACATATTATTGGTTGTTTTAAAAATATTTTTAGTGCATGTGCATTGGTGTTTTACCTGCATGTATGTCTGTGTGAGGATGTCGGATCCTCTGGAACTGGAGTTACAGACAGTTGTTAGTTGCCATGTGGGTGTTAGGAACTGAACCTAGGGTTCTCTAGAAGAGCAGCCAATGCCTCTAACTGCTGATCTATCTTTTCAGCTCCCTATATGATTGTTTTTAGTTATGTGTAATATGTATGTGTATGTGCATGAGGATGCGGTTGTCCTCGGAGGCTGGAAGAGTGTTGGATCCTCTGGAGTGGGAGTTACAGGTGATTGTGAGCTTCTTGATATAGGTGCTGGGAATCAAACGTGCGTCCTCTGCAAGAGCAGTGGTTTTAACTGCTGAACCATCCCTCCTACCTACCTTTTCCTGTTTAAATAATCTATCTGTTTCTAGTCCACGCCTAACTTAGCAGACATAAGTTTTCCTCCACCTCCCTGATGGCTGCTAGGATTTTAACTTAGCCTGCACTGTGTTTTTCTTGTAGGCTCCAATCAAATTGTTCTGGGGCTTTCTTTTGAATCTATTCTAAATTCTTTTTTTTTTTTTTTTTTTTTTTTTTTTTTTTTGGTTTTTCGAGACAGGGTTTCTCTGTGTAGCTTTGCGCCTTTCCTGGAACTCACTTGGTAGTCCAGGCTGGCCTCGAACTCACAGAGATCCGCCTGGCTCTGCCTCCCGAGTGCTGGGATTAAAGGCGTGCGCCACCACCGCCCGGCCTAAATTCTTTTATTAATGAGACTCTGATCCCCACACTCGTGCTGAGGCACTCACCCCCCCACACACACATCACACCCCTACACACACACACCACACACACCCACACACACTAAAGAAAATTTAGACTAAAAGGCCCTCTGCTGTTCTGCTGTTTGCTTGCTGGCTTTCTTGCTTTAAGAGCAGCCTGGCTTTTAAATCATTATAATTCTAGGGGAAGACAGCAGTGCCCAACCCCCTTCAGTGACAGTGGTGGAACTCAGCTCCTCTCCCTTCCTCTGGAGAAAGCCCAACAACAGTAAAAATATGCTGACTTCCTCCAAAACATCTGGGAAGTCTGCATCTCAGGGAAAACACTGTCCAGCTTCAGTCACCTGAGACAAAGACTTGCTCCCCAGGGTGGCACTACTGAGGTCCATAGAGGCTTCAACAGCAATTCTCAGCCTTTCTGACGCTGTGACCCCTTAATACAGTTCCTTATGTTGTGATGACCCCCAACCATAAAATTATTTCATCACTACTTCATAACTGTAACTTGGCTATTGTTATGAATTGTAATGTAAATATCTGATAGGTGACCCCAAATGGGTCTCAATCCATAGGCTGACAACCTCTGCTTTAGGAGGTGGGATTCATGAGACGTCTTCAGGTGGGTTGCTGGAGTTGTGTCCTTGCAGGAGATATAGAGCCTAGCTCCCTCTTGCTCTTCCTGTTTCCTGGTCACCATGATGTGTGCCATAGGCCCCACTGCTGTGGGATGGTCTGTATGTCAAATTGCTCTGATTGGTCAATAAATAAAACACTGATTGGCCAGTGGCCAGGCAGGAAGTATAGGCGGGACTAACAGAGAGGAGAACAGAGAAAACAGGAAGGCGGAGGGAGACACTGCCAGCCGCCACCATGACAAGAAGCATGTGAAGACGCCGTTAAGCCACGAGTCACATGGCAAGGTACAGATTTATAGAAATGAGTTAATTTAAGCTATAAGAACAGTTAACAAGAAGCCTGCCACGGCCATACAGTTTGTAAGCAATATAAGTCTCTGTGTTTACTTGGTTGGGTCTCAGTGGCTGTGGGACTGGCAAGTGACAGAGATTTGTCCTGACTGTGAGCAAGGCAGGAAAACTCTAGCTACACCCTACACCTCCAAAACTGTGAGCCAACAACATCAAACGAAAAACCCCACATCCTTTGGTTCCATATAGTTGAATAGCCTAGGTATTTGCCATAGTGACAGGAAAATAACATGGCTGCTTCCTTGAAGTTAGGAAATGCAGAGTTCAAGGCTGGTACCAAGGACCAGGTCTAGAGTGGCCCACCAAAGTCAGTGGTCATCAAAAATCTCACCCTAAAACATACTCTCACAGGATTGTGCAAGAGTCAGAGCTACCTTCTCTGATATCCCAACACTCGGAAAACCACAGCAGGAGGCACTTCAGGTCCAAGCCAAGCTGCCTTGTTAGCCAATCCCTGTCAAGGGGAGGGGAGGGAAGAGGAGGGGAGGGGAGGGGAGGGGAGGGGAGGGGAGGGGAGGGGAGGGGAGGAGAGGCCTGGTAGAGGTCTTTGTACCAACAATGAGGATGGTCACTTGTGAAAACACACATTCTTGTTTTTCACACTAAATGCTCCAAGTGGCACTAAGGGATCTATTCTTTTTTTTTTTTTTTGGTTTTTCGAGACAGGGTTTCTCTGTGAAGCCCTGGCCATTCTGAAACTCAGTCTGTAGACCAGACTGGCCTCAAACTCAGAGACCCCCTGCCTCTGCCTCCGGAGTGCTGGGATTAAAGGAGTGCGCCCCCACGGCCCGGCTGAGGTCTATTCTTACAGAAGAAAAGAGAACACAATAAGGGTTTGCCCTGGTTGGTTGTTTATTGCTTTGATCAACAAGAACAGATTAGTCAGCTCACTTACACGTTCCAAGTAGTTCTAGTGATAAGTGAGAACGAGATATTCTCCTAATTATTCATATTCTGATAGTGTCAGCATGTCTACAAGGAACTTGGCTGAAACGGCTCAAGGTCCAGATTAATTACATAATCAGACTTTGGAATCCAGGAGGCTGTGTCCACTATCCCAAGACTTCTAGCTACTAGGCCTGCTGGGAAATGCAGATAGTTTTCTTCATATTTCCATAGATAAAGGGTGTGGCCCTCTGGCTGGATGACAGACAGCATTGGAAGGGACTTGCATCCACTGAGTCACTTAATCCTTACAGTCACCCGTTGATGTGGAACTTGGGCTATACACTTATTCTGTAGATGAGGAAAATGGGGCAGAAGTGAATCGAAGTGACATATCTGAAGAGACAGAGCTGGAGATGGCTAGAGCTGAGGACTGGACCTGGCACCCTGATTCCAGAGCCCACTCTGGACATCTCCAGCATTTGTCATAAAAATGCTAGGGGACGTGGGGTGGGGAGATGTGTGTGACCGCAGATAGTAAGCAGTGTGTGTGTGTGTGTGTGTGTGTGTGTGTGTGTGTGTGTGTGTGTGTGTGTGTGTGTATGCTTGTGTATGTCTCAGTGTGTGCTTATGTATGTGTGTATGCTTGTGTGTGTGTGTGCCTCTGTGTAAGGAAGGGAGTGTGTATGAGCATGTGAAGGACAGAGGTGAATGTTGGACATCTTCAATCACGATCTACCTTAGGTTTTGAGACAATCTCTCCTGGAACCTGAAGCTCCTCAACTGGGCCAGACGAGCTGACAAACAAGGATTTGCAGGGATCCTCCTGTCTCTGCCTCCCCAGTGCTGGGATTGCAGGCACAATTTGATGTGGGTTCTGGGAATTCAACTCGGGTCTTCATGATTATACAGAAGGCACTTCATCAACTAAGTCATCTCCCTAAGCCCCAGAGAGTAAGCTTTTAAGCCACGTGGTCACCCCCAAGATGGCACCTCAGGAACATTCTGGTGGTCACCAGCAGTTCTGGTTTCCCATGGCACCACTTTGGTTTTAGCATTGAAAACCCTGCACCTCAGGAAACTCCCTATCTGGGAAGGCTGCCCACCTAGTTCTTCCCATAAGAATCACAGAAGGCCACTGGGGGTTTCTGGGGTCTGAAGACACATGCTATCTGTACCACAGTCTGCAAGTTTTAATTTTTCGAGACAGACTCTCGCGATGCAACTCAGGATTCCCTCAAACTCATGATCCCCCTGCCTTAGTCTCCCATGGGCTGTGAGTGTATACCATCACCCCTGCCTCTTAAGAACTTATTCTCACAGACAGGCGATGCTCTTGCAGGCTCCCCCAGGGGACTGACACCGGACTTCATCCATACTCCAGTGGGAACACACCTCTGGAAGGAGATCAACTCTAGCATTCCAGCATTCCAATTTAGAAATAACATTCTCAGCCCCACCTTTGAGTCTAATTCACCAAAGATCAAACTGACATCTAAGGAGTGAACTAGGCCAGGAACTCATATCCAGCAGCTTAGGGCCTGCCCAATCC